TTTTGTTTTCCTTTTTTTTTGGCTTTTTGACCTGAAAGATTGCTTTATGACTCTAATCGTATTTAGAATAACTGATTTAGAGCTTTTCCTACTTTGATCGGAATATGATTCTGATAGTGGTTGTTTGGATTTTGGTTTTTAATATAATAAAACCTACATCTATTTTATGAGACTCCAAAGAGCTGCTTTCCTTTTGGTGGCTGAATATAGTTCCTTCCTCTGATGTTAAATTTGTTTATTGGTAAATCGTGGCAGAAGACGTTGGCCAAAGGTTACAAGCACCAGCAATACTGTGTTCATTTATTTATACCTCCCAAATCATCTAGAGTACTTTATTTTGTTTTTCCTCCAGTATGTAAACCTAGTAAGAACCTTTTTGGATGAATGTGCATATGTGAAAGGATAAATTAAGATAACAGAGTTTCTGCTAAAGCTACTCAATAATTTTAGATACTTCTATCTGTTACTTTTAATATAGCTACTGTTAATGGAAGTAAGTGCCATAAAGGACTTGCCATCTCTAGGCATCTTGTTTGTTGAGTGTGGTATGTGGGGAATCTCATTTCAAGGGCTTATAAGAAGCTGGTTGCTGGCATGGTGATTCTAGAAGATCATTTGTAAGTCCCCGTCCCCCAGTCAGCACAGTCTGAGACTGTTGGGAGACTACAGTGCCTATTAGGATATCTCCTCTGTGCCCTGACACGACTTTGGCAATTCAGATGGCTTAGGGAGGGGTTTAATTTATTACTGTTTATTAAATTACACTTAGTTTATTATTGTTACAGGGGCTTGACAGTAATGAGTCAGCTTTTGGACTGAAGCGTGTGGGCTCTTAGGAATGGCATTTTGAACTCTCTTGGATGCCCTTGTCAAACTTTCCCCTGGGGACTCACTGCCTTCATTGCCTTCGTGACATTTAGTTGTTGGTTTTTTTTTTTCCCCCTGACTTTCTTTCTTCCTGTGTAAGGAACGACCTTATATTATCAGCCTGGCCTCCTGTACGGTGGGTCTGTGGAACATGACTGTAGTGTCCTTCGCAGCATTGGCTATTATCTGGAAAGTCTTCTTTGCCTGGCTCCATTTATGAAGCACCCGCTAAGAATAGTTCTGCGAGGAGTGACCAATGACCAGGTTGACCCTTCGGTGAGTAGTGAGGTCACACCACGGTGTGATTTTTATTTTGTCTCTTGTCACAACCCAACTTTTGAGAAACCAGTTCCTGATAAAGCACGGGTTTATTGTTGAGTGTGTGTCTGTTTTCTTATTTATCTTGAGATTTAGAGGTTAATCAGTCCAGAGGGGCAGATAAGCCAAGACTCACAGTCATCCAATTCAGTGACGATTGTTAATATTCGTCAAGGTGACTTTCATTGTCATGTCTAAGAACCTTCAGAGCAGATGCTTACCGTATCATCATGGTTAACATGAAATATGGCTCCATTGGCTGAAGTGTGAGTGTGCAATTTTCATGAGGTCATGTGATAATTGAGGTTGGAAGGCAGCAGATCAAAATTTTAGACAGAGACTAATAGCTCCTTGGCAGTGCTGCAGCATAATCCTGACTTCGGCTTCAACCATAAACTTTAGGACTTTCTTCTTCCGAAAAGAGTTTGCAGATTTAGAAAAAGGATATGATGGCAGGGAAGGTATATGCAAGCTTTGCTAGTTTGTGGGCACCAGCAAGCTTCTTATTACGTGTGCTCATTTTCCTGCATGTGTGGGGAGGATAGTTTAATATCCAACGAGGATATTTGCTGTAGCTACCATTGCCAGTCTGGGATGGGTTTTGTGTGTATGTGTGTTTGTTTGTGTGTCTGTAAGAGAGAGAGAAAAAGAGAGAGATTAGAGGAGGCCTGCCTTAGTCCTCTTGTAGGGAGGCAGAGATCCCTACCTTTGGATGGTCTGCTGTATCGAGAAGGTATCTTAAAGATGTGAAGTCCTGACTGAGGATACTTGTTTTACAGACATTGGACCTGAACCCCTGAAGGGGCAGCTTCTGAGGCAGAATGTGAAGTGTGTAGCTTTCCTGTTGTACAACACAGGGAATATAGCCAATATTTTATAACATCTACAAATGGAGTATGACCTTTAAAAATTATGAATCACTATGTTGTATACCTGTAACTTATACGATATTGTACATCAACTATACTTCAATAAAAAAATAAAATATATTAAAGATATATATAAATTTTTTAAAGTGTGTAGCTTTCCTAACCAGGGAAGACCAGTCAGGTGGTGCATTGAGCCCCAAACTGGAGACTACTGGTATTCATGACGACACTTACTAGAATATAAACATGGTTAGTATATTCTCAGGCGTTAAAAGAATTGTTCCCAACTCTTGGGAATTCAGGTGCATAAAATCTTCCTGGGATCTTGAGTTCAGTGCAAGATCTGAAATTCTTAGCTGTATGAAATGTTGCATAAACTGTTTAGAATTTTGAACTAATTTCAAACAATTGCTTTTTCCTACATTTTGTGGAAACTTCTAGGAAATGGATCCTTCAGTTAAAAGTGAAAAAGTGTGAGAGAAAACCTCCGCACTTTCAGATTTGGGAGGGGTGGGAGGGGACGGTGTCTTGAATATTGGGAGAAGGCCCTCAAGCTTCAGGAGGCTCTGGCACTGTGTGTCCCAGTTTTGTACTTTTTCTATAATTACTAATGATCTTAAAAGCTGTTATCACTGGCAATATTAAAGTTTACGTATTTACATCTTAACAGTGACAAAGATTAATTGACAGATTCCCTAGGAATAGTACTTAGTTCTTTTATGCAATGTATTACAATTTTTTTGTTATTGATTTCTTGTGCTGTGGGCCTGTCTGCTTTTGCAAGCTGCATGGCTAAAATGACCTTGGTTAGTACCTGGTTCCAGCCCAGGATAAAAGAAATACACCTAATCCTGGATAAAGAGTAACTTCTTCAGCCTGTAGCTTCTTTATTTAGAACTTTCTCTTTAATGTGTGTTTTCCCCGTCAGTTTATGTCCACGTCTACTCTCTGCACACAAGTGTGAATACAATGAGTTCTGCTCTTAGGGAACTTGGTCTCATAGGTAGACAGCTATGAACACAGCTACAAGGCTGTATATCTCTGAGCTCTGATAGAGGCACAAGCAAAGTGCTGAGGGCTGGAGAGGGCTTTCTGGAGGGAAGGAGGCCACAGAGTCAGTCCTGGTTTTAGGAAGATAACTCGAGGTTGAGAGAAGGATGAGTTGGAGAGATGTCAACTAATTTGAACATTATGCAGATGGAAGTGGAAAGAAAGGGACAGACATGAAGGAGAGATTTCATAACTTGGTAACTAATTGAAGTTGGGATAGGAGGAAGAGGTCATAAATAACTCCATGATTTCTGTCCTGGTTGACTTGAAGGATAGTGATCAGAAAGAGTTGGACATGGGGAAGAGGAAAATTGTGGTGGGATGATGGATGGTATGTTTGATTTTGATCCTATTATCTGGGATATTGATTGGATATGCACAGGGGCTACCAGTTTAAAGTTGGAAATTACTGTCTGGAGCCTTAGAGATAGGTCATAAGGATCTTACCTACTGATACTTCATTTCCTAGGAGCATGAGGTTGACTAGTGCCAAGGTTAAACACTGGCAGCTTTTCGGCTCAGTTAATACAACAGGCAAGTTTTTCCTTTGGCCTGCACAGTGTGTTGCTGGTGGTGGTATGTATATCTGGACTGGTTGCTCACATTGGAAACCCCAGATGTTACAGTGTAGTAGGTTGATAGAGCAGCACTGGACCGCTGTTTTGTCCATGACAGCCATCAGTTGGAGTGGAGTAGCACCTCCCCTCTTTGGATAAGGTATGAGATAGATCTTCAGCTGGACACAGGTCATTTAACTTCTTTCTCTGGCCCCTGTGAGGGGTAGAGATTTAGCCTCATTGTTTGGGGGCCTGAGAATAGAAGAAAAGGAAGTGAGTGTGTAAGGAGTGAGTGGGAGAAGAGGAGTTGGAGACAGTGACTGTGGAGTTAGAAGTACTTGGAGAAGCCAAGTAGGAGTTGAATTCTAAGAAGCCAGGGATGGTCCACAGAGTCAGTCTTTGCAGGAGCTGAGTTAGGACTAGGCAGGGAGATTGGGCAGTGAGAAGTTTTATTGACCTTTGAGAGAGCAGTATCATTGGAGGACAGGGGCAGGCACAGGTTCAGAATGAGTGGAAAAATAGAACCATGGAAGATTAGGAGATTCTTCCAGAAGGTTAGATAGGATGATTCCCTAAGAGCTGAGGTTGGGATTTTTTTTTTTTTTTTATGAAGGAAACTTGAATGTGCTTTTAGGCTGAGGCGAAGCTGTAATGGAGAAGGAAAGAATTAAAATAAAAGGGGTAGCAGGATTTAGTAGGTCTGACTCCTCTGACATCCAGCAGGCAGGAGGGTTGAAAGCAGAAGTGATAGGATGAGCCTTGTAAAAGGGCAGGGGCATTTTTCCTTGGAGGCAAAGGATAGGAATGGGTGGAAATTTTGAGAAGAAAAATTCTAGGAGGTCTCCTTTGAATCTCAGTGACTTGATCCTGGTGCCAACTAGCTGGTCAGATGGTGAGTGAAGAGTCCATTCTTTTTTAGTATTGTCCTGGCAGAGCAAAGAAGTACAGTAAATTCTACTGTGTGCTGGGCCCTGCTCTAGGTATATGTATGTATGTATTCATATTTATTTCATTCACAAGGTGAGAAGGGTGTTATCACCGTTTCAGGCAAGGTAACTGGAGAATAGGTTTCTTCCCTTTTTATATTTTCTATTTGGTGTAGATCTGATCATATTGCTACCTGTTAATTGATTGACTGGACTATAAGGGTGACACTTTCCCCAGGTACCACTCAGGTCAGACTTTGGCCTTTTCCCTCTAACTGCAGAGTGACAGATCAGTTTTCCTTAAGCAGAACCTGCAGACCACCCCTGCTGTGCTCAAACTAGTGCACAGAGCCGGGGGAGGCTGTGGAACATGTCCAGTCCAGCCCCTCTTTATACAGCAGGAAACCAAGGCCCTGGGGAGAGAGTGTCCAGGTCTCACAACTGGTAAGAAGTAGAGTGGAGCTTCAGCCCACAACTGCTTTTGCAGCCTGTGTCCCACCGCATTGAGTTGTTTGCCCTCCATGTCAGATGGAGAGTGACTTAGGAGACAAGACTACACCTGCAGTTACACTAGGTTTCTGGCTGACCTCAAAGTCAGCTTGACTCCATCCTTTACTACTTTATGTGTAGGTAGGATGAACCAGGAGATATCCTCTGTTTTCTTGCCTTTCTTTTTCCCAGGAGAGCTGGAGGCTGCCTAGTTCCAGGAGTCCTGTGGGCAGAGTAACCTGTGTCTTTGCGACCCCCACTTTTTCTAGAATCTGGCTTGACCTTCACCCCAGCTGCCCTAACACTAGCCTAGACTAAATTCTTGATTCTGGTAATCCCAAATGCATATTTTAAGTGTTTGGGTGTGTGTAGCTTTAATGTTTAATTGAAATTAGCTAATCTTTACTGGATTTTCCCAGTAACTGCTTCTGTCCCACCTGATCCATGCTGTACATGTTCTCAGGCTTCATAGGTCATTCCTACCTCTGGTTAATTTTCTAATACCAGAATACTTAGTTGGGGAGTATTTTCTACCATAAAGCCTTGTTGGAGTATTGTTAGTATATGTTAGAGCTGGTAGCAACTTGAAGACAAACTGGCTGAGTCTCTTACCTTAGAGACAAGGAGATTTAGACAGCTGAGATTTTCTTGATTGAGGCCACACAGCTAACTAGAGACAGAGCCCAGCCAGGACCAGGGCTTTTCCTTACAACCTCGGTTCGTGCTGCCTGCCCTCATTACCGCCTTGTAGGACCAGCCCCCACCAGCCTGATCCGAGTGTTTCTAGTTCCACTGGAACAAGCAAGGGGTTACTGTTCTGTCCCAAATTGCCACTGAGACAACATTCACTAACTTGTTAGGTAAATGTGGTTTGAATGTCATCCTTATCCTCTGTGAGGAATCCACAAATGAATAAGGAGGGACCCGGGCCTCCTCGGAGTTCTAAATGAGGAGGAGACAGCAGTTCCACTTGGCACAGTCTTGCCATCAACTGTGGATGTTGTGTTGCAATTTAGGGTTTGTGTTGCTTCTTGCAGTTTGAGGCTGTCCTATCCCCGAGGCCCCCACTGCCTTGTAGAGTCACCTACCGCCTTTAGCAGCCTGTGGGGTGGGTGTCAGCAGGGTTCTTAGATAGGGGTCTTAGATTGAGTAGTTCATTTGGTTTGCTTTAGCTTGGAGTGCTACTAGCTCTAAACATTAAACAACCATGTTAGAAAAAGAATACTAAAAGAGGCTGATACTTTCTTCCATAGTGTCCATACCTATAAGAATGAGCAGAGGTCTCAGTCTGCTTTCTTTTTAAAAAAAAAATATTTTATATATATTTTTATTGAAGTATAGTCAATCTGTATGAGCTCAGCAGTTTCTTAGTGCTTTTTGCGTGATGCATGTGATGCACACAATGACCCATAAGGTAGGTGTGTGGTATTGTCCGTGAGGAAAAGAGGCTCAGAGAAGCCAGTGGCTTATGAAATCTCAGTCCTAACTGGGAGCAGAGCCGGCCCACACCCTCAGTTGTAAGGCAGCCTCCTTTCTCTTTACCAGGCTAAACCTTAACCTGTTTCATGGGCTCTTTCTTCTTTCCAGCTCTCATGGTTTAATTAAACTTTTGTTTTTTTCTGAAATGATTCTGTAGGTTGATGTTCTTAAGGCAACAGCCATTCCTCTACTGAAACAGTTTGGGATTGATGGTGAATCATTTGAGCTAAAGGTAAGAATGTGTAAATTGTTGGTGGTATATATCTGTGTGAAAGATTTTCTTACCAGGTCATTGGAGGAGTTATGACTTCGTGAGTGCGTGTCAAATTTGAAGTCACCATTTATGAGAAGACATATGGGATACATGAACCATACATGCAGTTTTTAAGCTGAAAGGGCCCCTTTAGTAATGACAAGAATAGCCAGCAGTTATGTTGCACTTACTGTGTGGTAGGCAATCGTGTAAGCATTTTGCGTGTGTTCAGTCCTTTACTCGTAACAACTCAGCTAATCACTAGTGGAGCCAGGATCTGGCCATGGTGCCTCTCTGATCCAGATCGTGTATTTTAATTTGTGTCCAGAGCCTCCCAACATGAATGTCCCTGAGAATTTTCAGTACATTACTTTCAAAACCTAGTGGAAATAATTTAAGCATCTGTTTGTTTGCTATTAAAAGGAATTACATCATTCTAGTCACACTGGATATGTTAAGCTGTCTAGCATCTCTACTTTTTAAATTGATGTTTTTAAACCAGGGAAATGACTTCATTTTTATTTAATAATATGTTGATGGATCAGTGAATTCTTTAGGAGAAAAGGGTTCCTGATGGTTAAGAAATGAAATTAGCTTATGAACTAGGCTAGTCCCTTGTTTTAGGGTTGAAGAAACAGGTCGTGATGGTGAAGTGACCTGCCTGGCTTTGACTGGGATAAGGTGTCCACTGCTCATTCCGACACACCACACAGTCTCCTTGCCCAGCACGTGCCTCCTTGGAGCTGATGTAAGGTGCTGTTGATCTTGAAGAGGTTGACAAGTTGGGTGTGAAAGAGTTTTCTGTATTCTTAGGAAGAACCTGTTAGTGTAAGCCAGCCAGGTTGGGTGTCACCCACTCTGCTGAATCCTCATCTCTTCTCTCATTCCACGTGCAGATTGTGCGAAGGGGAATGCCCCCTGGAGGAGGAGGTGAAGTGTTTTTCTCCTGTCCTGTGAGGAAGGTCCTGAAGCCCATTCAGCTCACAGATCCAGGAAAGATCAAACGTATCAGAGGAATGGCGTATCCTTTGTATTTGCTTCAGATTTCTTATTTTTGTCTTGCCTCACTAGGAATGACTCAACAATTTACTTCTTCCCAGGGTTATTTACATTTTAGACAACCGTCTTGGAAAAGTCTTAACAGTGAATTCATAATTGTTGGCCGAGATAGAATACTGTATTATCTGCCTCACTATGACTAGGTTGATGAATTCATTTATTTTTTCAGTTAACACTTAAGCAAACACTTAAGCAATCTGTAGTGTGTGTGATACTCTCCCGAGGGCTTTGATTTTGGGGTCACCAACGCACTGCAGTCCCTCCCTTGGAAGAGTTCATTGTCTGGTGAAGGAAACAAATATGCAAACACATAATTCTACTGTAATGTGTAAAATGATACAAATGATATGCAGTGGGCAGGGGAAGCTGAAAATAGAGAGTGGCTAATTTGTCTAGAAGATGTGGGAGTACTGAATGATAGTGAATAATATCTACCATTTATTAAGTGCTTAACACTCTACTATGATAATTTATATATTTAATTTATTTTCATTTATTTTTAAAAATTACTTTATTGAGGTATGATTGACATACAGAAGGCTGTATATATATAATGTGTACAACTTGATGAGTTCAGAGATATGTAAACACCTGTGAAACCATTAACATGATCAATGCCATAAACGTATCCATCTCCCCCAAAAGTTTCTTTCCACTCTATTTATTACTTTACTTTTTTACTTTTTTAATTTTTTGTGATAGAAACACTTAAATAAGAGCTACCTTCTTAACAGATTTTTAAGTATGCAGTACAGGCATTGTGCTGTACAGATCTCTAAGCCTTAATCATCTTGGATCAGTGAAACTTTGTACCCTTTAACTAACATCTCCCCACTTACCCCTCCTCTAGCTCCTGGGAGCCATTTTTCTGTTCTCAGCCTCTGAGTTTGACTATTTTAAATTCCTCATGTAAGTGGGATCATATAGTATTTGTTCTTCTGTGTCTGGCTTATTTCATTTTAGCATAATGTTCTCTAAGTTCACCCATGTTGTCACAGATGACAGCATTTCCAGTGGGATTGCTGGATCAAATGGTAGTTCTATTTTTAATTTCTCAAGGAAGCTTCATACTGTTTTGCATAGTGGCTACATCAGCTTACATTCCTACTAACAGTTGCAAAATTTCCCTTTTCTCCACACCCTTACCAATACTTGTTATTTTCTTTTTTGGTAATAGCCATGCTAACAGGGGTGAAGTGATGTCTCAGTATGGTTTTAATTTGCATTTTCTTGATTATTAGTCATATTGAGCACCTTTCTATGTCCCTGTTGGTCATTTCTATGTCTGTTTGGGAGAAATGTCTATTCAGGTCCTTTGCCCATTTTTAAATTAGGTGGTTTCTTTGTTTGTTCGTTTAGCTCTGAAGTTGTATGAATGTCTTACGTCTTTTGGATATTAATCACATTTATGAATTTCAGACATTTTTTCATTACATGGGTTGCCTTTTCACTTGTTGTTAAAAAGGTTGTTTCTTTTACCTGTATTTTTGGCATTATATTCAAGAAATCATTGCCAAAGCTACAAGGCTTTTCCCCTATGTTTTCTTCTGGAGTTTCAAGTTTTATGTTTGCTTTAATCCATTTTGAGTTGATCTTTGTATGTGATGTAAGAGTCCAATTTCATTCTTTTGCATGTAAGTATCCAATTTTCCTAGCAATATTTATTGAAGCGAATATCCTTCCCCCATTGTGTATTCTTAGCGTCCTAATTGAAGATCAGTTGACCAGATATATGTAGGTTTATTTCTGGGTACTCTGTTCTGTTCTATTGGTCTATATGTCTGTTTTTATCCCAATAACATGCTGTTTTGTTTTTTGTAGCTTTGTAACATATTTTGTAACCAGGAACTGTGATGCCTGCAGCTTTGTTATTCTTGCCTAAAGTTGCTTTGGCTGTTTGGAGTCCTTTGTGGTTCCATAATACATTTTAGGATTGTTTTTTCTATTTTTATAAAAAATACCGTTGGGATTTTGATAGGGATTGCATTGAATCTGCAGATTGCTTTAGAAAGTATGGACATTTTAACAATATTAATTCTTTCAGCCCATAAACATGGACTGTCTTCCCATTTAAAAAGTCTTCTAAAATGTCTTTCATCAGTGTTTTTCAGTTTTTAGATTTCACCTCCTTGGCAAAGTTTATTCCTAAATATTTAGGGTTTGTTTTTGTTTTTTTTTGAAATGCTATTGTAGATAGGATTGTTTCCTTGATTTTCGTTGGAGATAGTTTGTTGTTAGTGTACAGAAATGCAACTATGTTTTGTATGTTGATTTTGTATCCTGCAATTTTATTGAATTCATTTATTAGTGCTAAGAATTGTTTTATGGCATTCTTTAGGATTTCTACATATAAGATCATGTCATCTGCAAACAGTTAATTTTACTTCTTCCTTTCCAATTTGGATGCCTTTTCTTTCTCTTTCTTGCCTAATTGCTCTCTTTAGGACGTCCAATTAGTATGTTGAATAGGAGTGGCAAGAGTAGGCATCCTTGCTCTGTTCCAAATCTTTGGGAAAAACTTTCAAGTTTTCACCATTGAAGATGATGTTAGTTGTGGGCTTTTCGTGTATGTTCTTTATTATGTTGAGGTAAGTTTCTTTCATACTTAGTTTGTTGAGAGTTTTTGTCATGAAAGAGTCTTGAATTTTGTCAGATGCTTTTTCTGTACCTATTGTGACAATGATGTGTTTTATTCTTCATTCTGTTCATGTAGTGTATCAGATTGATTGATTTGCATATATGTTGAACCATTCTTGCATCCCTGGGATAAATCCCACTTTGTCATGTTTTATGATCCTTTTAATGTACTGTTGAACTCAATTTGCTGATGTTTGCTGAGGATTTGTGCATCCATGTTCATCAGGGCTTTTGGCCTATAATTTTCTTTTCTTGTGGTGTCTTTGTCTGGCTTTGGTATCAGGGTGATGCTGGTCTCATAAAATGAGTTTGAAGATGTTCCTGCTTCAGGTTTTTTAGAAGTTTAAGGATTAGCGTTAACTCTTCTTTAAATGTTTGGTAGAATTCACCAGTAAATTCATCTGATGAAGCTACCTAGCCCTGGGCTTTTCTTTGTTGGGAAGTTTTTGATTACTGTTTACTGATTCAGTCACCTTATGTGTTATGGTCTGTTCAAGCTCTCTGTTCTTGATTCAGACTTGGTAGTTTTTAATGTTTATAGGAATTTATTCATTTCTTCTAGATTGTCCAATTTATTGGCATATAATTGTTCATAATATGATCTTTTTTGATTTCTGTAGCATCAGTTGCAATGTTTCCTTTCACTTCTGTTTTTAGTTATTTGTGTCTTTTCTTTTTCTTAGTCTAGCTAAGGGTTTGTCACTTTTGTTTATCTTTTCAAAAAACCAACTTTCAGTTTTGTTGGTTTTTTGTTTTCTGTGTCATTTGTATCTACGTTAATCTTTATTGTTACTTTAGTTCTAACTGTGGATTTGGTTTGCTCTTTTTCTAATGTAAAATTAGGCTACTTACTTGAGCTGTTTCTTTTGTAGAAAGAATGTAGGCACTTATTGCTATAAAATTCCTTCTTAGTACTTCTTTTGCTGCATCCTGTAAGTTTTGGTATGTTGTATTTTTATTTTCATTTGTCTCTAGATATTTTCTAGTTTCCCTTTTGACTTTTTAACCCAATGTTTGTTCAAAAGTATGCTTCTAATTTTCATATATTTGAATCCGCATTTTCTTGCTGTTACTGATACTTGGTTTCATTTTATTGTGGTTGGATAAGATGCTTGGGGTGATTTCAGCCTTCTTAAATTTTTTAATACTTGTTTTGTGACCTACCATGTGATCATAGATAATGTTCCATGTACACTTGAGAAGATGTGTTCTACTGTTGGTAGGTGGAATGTTCTTGTATATGTCATTAGTTTTATTTGGTTTATAGTTTGTTCAAGTCTGTTGTTTTTCTTATGGATTTTCTTTCTGGTTTTTCCATCCATTATTGAGAGTAGGGGTACTGAATCTCTTGTTATTATTGTATTGACATATGTTTCTCCATTCAGATCTGTTAATGTTTGCTTTATATATTTAGGTGCTCTGATGTTGAGTACATATATATTTGTAATTGTTACATCTTCCAGTTCAGTTATTTTGTTATATAAAGACTTTTGTCTCTTGTAACGTTGAAGTCCTTTTTGTCTTAAAGTCTGTTTTGTTTGATATAAGTATAATTCGTCCCTGCCTTTTGGTTACCATCTGCATGGAATATTTCCATGTCTTCGCTTTCGGTCTGTTTATGTCCTTATATATAAAGTGAGTTTCTTGTGAACAGCATGTAGTTGGATCTTGTTGTTTTATCCTTTCAGCTACTCTGTGTCTTTTGATTGTGGAGTTTAATACATGTATATTTTATATACTTTATTCTTAAGCCCCAAAGTGACTCTGAGTTCACTTACATCCTGTTTTGTGGATGGGGAAACTGAGGCTTTGAAAGCTTAAAAAATTGCTTTCCATATCACAGATTATAATGGTGGGGTTGAAATTTGAACCCTAGCTCTGTGGCCCAGGCTTTTAACTAAACCCTGCTTATTCCTTAGAAAGGACAGGACATTTGGACTGAGCCTTAAGAATGGAGGCTTGTAAAGTGGAGCTAAGAAGGAGGAGTGCTTCAGGCAGAAGTGTGGGCCTGTGCAGAGGGAGCAGTGCATAGTGGTTCTGGGAAGTGGCAGACAACGTGGTATGACCTGAATGTAGAGCATTCGGGGGTATTTGGTAGTAGAAGGTGGGACAGAAAGTTAGGGCAGGAGCCTGTGGAGATTGGAAGCTGTGCCAAAGAGTTGGCCTTCATTTAAAGTCAGCAATTTTCTTCTGGAGAGAATTTGCACATTAAGAGTGTAACTCTGGTGGTACCAAAAGAACTTTTGGCTATTTTTGTCTCATTGTAGAAATTTTGGAAGGCACAAGTTAAAAAAAAATCTTAGCACGTAATGGCGATCACAGGGA